CACCGCAACCTCCGCCTCCTGGGTTCAGGCAATTCTCCTGCCTCAGCCTCCTGAGTAGCTGGGATTACAGGCACGCGCCACCATGCCCAGCTAATGTTTTTGTATTTTTAGTAGAGACGGGGTTTCACCATGTTGACCAGGATGGTCTCGATCTCTTGACCTCGTGATCCACCCGCCTCGGCCTCCCAAAGTGTTGGGATTACAGGCTTGAGCCACCGCGCCCGGCAATATATGGAGTTTTGAGTGAATCAGACATCATGGACTGTCACCCCAAACATGCAAGGTTTAGCATTCAGCAACAGCTCCAGATCCAAGGGTTAATCCATGCAGATTTATTATTTATTTTATTTTATTTTATTTTATTTTATTTTATTTTATTTTCTGAGACCGAGTTTCTCTCTTGTTGCCCAGGCTGGAGTGCAATGGTGAAATCTTGGCTCACTACAACCTCTGCCTCCTGGGTTCAAGTGGTTCTCCTGCCTCAGTCTCCCAAGTAGCTGGGATTACAGGCACGTGCCACCACGCTTGACTAATTTTATATTTTTAGTGGAGGCGGGGTTTCTTCAGGTTGGTCAGGCTGGTCTTGAGCTCCTGACCTCAGGTGCTCTAACTGCCTCAGCCTCCCAAAGTGCTGGGATTACAGGCGTGAGCCACTGCGCCTGGCCCCATGCAGATTTCTATAGCTCTTCATGTAGCTTCCTGCTCTCTTATGTAGCCTAGGACCTCTGCTCTTAACTATTACACTATATGGCCTCTTTTGTTTTTTGCTTTATTTTTTTTTTTTTGAGATGGAGTCTTGCTCTGTCACCGAGGCTGGAGTGCAGTGGCACAATCTCGGCTCACTGCAACCTCTGCCTCCCAGGTTCAAACGATTCTCCTGCCTCAGCCTTTTGAGTATCTGAGCTTACAGGAGTGCGCAACCATGCCGGGCTAATTTTTGTATTTTTAGTAGCGACGGGGAGATTTTACCATGTTGGTCAGGCTGGTCTTGAACTCCTGACCTTGCGATCTGCCCACCTCGGCCTCCCAAAGTGCTGGGATTACAAGTGTGAGCCACAGCACCCGGCCTATTGCCTCTTCTTTAAGTTAGAGGTTGTGCAGGGTGTTAATCAATGGCTAATCAATTACACTTACTGAGTTCCTAACTTAGGTCCCACAAAAGATGCAAAAAGGGAAGACATTCCAGCCTCAACCCCAGTCATCCCCATATGAGCCCAAAACAGTGATTAGGAAATCCATGCAAACTTCTGAGGCAAGGGATGGTGACAGTACCATGAGCAATAGGATTGCACAGTGAGTGACAAACCACAATGCTGCTGTCGCCTCACTGAACCCATCATTCATCCCTCTTCCCACACCTCTATAGTTCCTCCAGCCTCTCCCATCCATGAGGATCCGTAAAATTGGCTGCTTCTCCCACCCTAGCCTCCCAAACTTCATCTAAGTTTTTGACTGGGTCAGACAAGGTGGCTCAACCCTGTAATCCCAGCACTTTGGGAGTCTGAGGCAGGCGGATCGCTTGAGCTCAGGAGTTTGAGATCAGCCTAGGCAACATTTTAAAACCATGTCTCTACAAAAATTAGGCAGGCTTGGTGGCATGTGCCTCTAGTCCCAGCTAGTCAGGAGGCTGAGCCTGGGAGTTTGAGGATACAGTGAGCCATGATCATGCCACTGCACTCCAGCCTGGGTGACAGAGTGAGACTCTGACTCAAAAAAAAAAAAAAGGTTTTTGACTTAACATAGGGATAAATTATAACCCAGGTCAAATCTGGGTCTGAAAACCTCTCTAGAAGGAAAAACTCTGTTTCTCTACTCTCGGCACTTCTGACACCAAATGTGTGAATTTTCCACCATCCTGGCTAACATGCTGTTAGACCATCCTGGCTAACACGGTGAAACCCTGTCTCCATTAAAAACACAAAAAATTAGCCAGGCGTGGTGGCTTATGCCTATAATCCCAGCACTTTGGGAGGCTGAGATGGGTGGATCACCTGAGGTCAGGAGTTTGAGACCACCCTGACCAACATGGAGAAATCCCCATCTCTACTAAAAATACAAAATTAGCCAGGCATGGTGGTGGATGCCTGTAATCCCAGCTACTCAGGAGGCTGAGGCAGGAGAATCACTTGAACCTGGGAGGCAGAGGTTGCAGGGAGCCGAGATTGTGTCATTGCACTCCAGCCTGGGCAGCAAGAGCAAAACTCCATCTCAAAATAATAATAATAATAAGTAGCCAGGTGTGGTGGTATGTGCCTGCAGTCCCAGCTACTGGGGAGGCGGCGGCAGGGGAATCACTTGCACCTGGGAGGTGGAGGTTACAGTAAGCTGAGATGGTGCCACTGCACTCCAGCCTAGGCGACAGAGCGAGATTCAGTCTCAAAAAAAAAGAGTTTGAGACTGCAGTGAACTATGATAGCACTACTGCCCTTCACACTTCACTCCAGCCTGGGTGACAGAGCAAAACCTTGTCTCTAAAAAAACAAAAGGGGAAATAAATAGAATAAACAACTCTGAGAAGGGACATGATCTAGTGACAATCTCAAGTGAATCAGTGGTTGAACCAGGACCAGATCCCAGTGTCCTATCTTCTGGGACATCCTCAGCCTGAATTTTTAATGCATATCCCTTCTGCAGTGCCTTTCCTCTGAGGCCCTCAAAGGGAAACTGAGACCTTTGAGGACATGAAGACTTGAATCAGGCCAACCAGAGGCCTTGGAACTCCAAATCAAAGAGGAGAAGAAAGGTCTGCCACTGTGTGTGTGTGTGTGTGTGTGTGTGTGTGTGTGTGTGTGTGTGTGTGGCGGGGGGCAAAGGGGGGTGTGGTGATGGGATATTGACATGAATGCACAAGGGGCAGGAAGTGTCTGAAATCAGAGCTAGCTTGGGAGGCACAGAACATGAGGTGCCTGGAAGGGGAACAGTTGTGTTGTGGGGCATAGGGCAGACTGGGAGGGGAACAAAGGTCCACTCCATGGGTGACCAGAACCTTCCGCCAGGGCTGCCCACTTCTGCCTTTGGAAAATATTTCACAATGCCCCATGTTGTGTGTGTGTGTGAATCTGCAGCTGTGAAGTGAATATTGATGTAAGAGGCAGGGCCCTCAGCTGCGGATGGGTAACAGGGTGTGGGCTCACACTCTCACTTGCAGCAGTGTCCAGAGAAGGGGTGCAGGCTGAGGAGCTGCCCAGAGCACTGCTCACACTCCCAGAGTACCTGAAGTCGCTGTCCCAATGACAGGTGAGTAGTGGCCCCTAGAGACAGAGCCTGATTAAGGGGTGGAATGGAGGAGGTCACTAGGCTGGTGGAGACTTGAGGAAGCAAGAAAGCCCCTGGTCCCCCGTGGGAGTCCTGGTCTAGAACACAGCTCTGGACAGATCATTGTCACTGGGATGGAGTCCTTCACAACCCTAAGGGGTCTACCTTTCCTTTGTCTGAAGCCCATGGATCAAAGCCCCTGGAGTTTTCTGGGCTGCTGGAGGGGGTGGGGGATCCGGCCAAGGGGCAGACATGTGGCCTCAGCTTGCCCTTCTTAGAGCTCAGGGTCTCTCTGCGTCCTCTGTGGCAGGAGATCTGCCTCTGGGCATCTGTGCTCACATGAGAGAACAGTGATTCGGAAGCTGCCACGTCCCACACATCTGGAATGTTTGGTCGAGGGGTGGAGGTGATGGACCCAAGATGGGATCAGGGACCTTAGTTTCTCCAATTTTCCAGGAGGAGGAGGTGGGAAGGGAACAGGTGGCTTTAACTAAGGAGGCAGGACATTCACCATGCTTCATGCGCCCCCACAGGTGACAAGGGTCCCCAGAGGCTGAGCAGGTCCAGCTATGGCTCCATCTCAAGCCCCACCAGCCCAGGACCACAGCAAGTGCCTCCCAGAGAGACCTACCTGAGTGAGAAGATCCCCATCCCAGACACGAAACCGGTGGGACGCTGGAAACTTTTTTTTTTTTTTTTTTAGAGGAAGAAAGAGAGAAAGAAAGAAAAAGAATAGAAGAATAAAGGAAAGGAAGAAAGAGGAAGAGGAAGAGGGAGAGAGAACAGGGGTGTTGCTTTATTGCCCGGGCTAGAATGTAGTCTAAAAATGGGTATGCCTGTAATTGTGTTTAATAATAGAGACATTAAAAAAAAAAAAATGAGGCTGGGCGCGGTGGCTCACGCCTGTAATCCCAGCACTTTGGGAGGCCGAGGCGGGTGGATCACGAGGTCAAGAGATCGAGACCATCCTGGTCAACATGGTGAAACCCCGTCTCTACTAAAAATACAAAAATTAGCTGGGCATGGTGGCGCGTGCCTGTAATCCCAGCTACTCAGGAGGCTGAGGCAGGAGAATTGCCTGAACCCAGGAGGCGGAGGTTGCGGTGAGCTGAGATCGCGCCATTGCACTCCAGCCTGGGTAACAAGAGTGAAACTCCGTCTCAAAAAAAAAAAAGAGGGAAGAAAATAATTAACAAGCAGCCAATCAATATTTCATTTAAACCTGTAAATATGTGTGATGTAGTACTGATAAGTACTGTATATTTTGTGTATTTAAAGTGGAGAGTTCTATGAATGTTAATTAAGTCTGCGTGTTCCGGATCTGGGTTCAAGTCCTGAATATCGATATTCATTTTCTGTCTCATTGATCTGTCTAATATTGGTGTTGAAGTCTCCCACTATTATTGTGTGGGAGTCCATGTCTCTTTATAAATTTTATAAATCTGGGTATTTCTGTGTTGGGTGCATACATATTTAGGATCCTCAGCTCTTCTTGTTACATTGATCCTTCTATCTTTATGCAATATCCCTCTTTGCCTCTCTTGATCCTTGTTGCTTCGAAGTCTATTTTATCAGCAAAAATTGCAACTCCTGCTTTCTATTTATTTATTTTTGCTCTCCATTTGGTTGGTAAATCTTTCTCCATCCCTTTGTTTTGAGTCTTTGTGTATCGTTGCATGTGAGATGGATCAGGATGTAGCATACCAATGGGTCTTGGCTTTTTTTTGCCTGTCTGTGTCTTTGGATTGAGGGATTTAGTCGATTTAAATTTAGAATTAATAACAATATATGTGTGTTTGATGCTGTCATTTAATGTTAGCTGGCTGTTTTGCCCATTAGTTGATGCAATTTCTTAATTATGTTGATGTTCTTTATTTTTAGGTATTTTTTAGAAAGGCTGATACTGGTTGTTCCTTTCTATTTGTAGTGGTTCTTTCAGAAGCTCTTGTAAAGCAGGCCTGGTGGTGATGAAATCTCTGAGTGCTTGCCTGTTCACACAAGATTTTATTTTTCCTTCGCTTATGAAGCTTAGTTTGGCTGGATGTGAAATTCTGGGTTGAAAGTTCTTTTCTTTAAGGATGTTGAATATTGGCCCCCACTCTCTTCTGGCTTGTAGGGTTTCTGCTGAGAGATCTGCTGTGAGTCTGATGGGCTTCCCTTTATGGGTAACCTGACCTTTCTCTCTGGCTGCCCTCAGTATTTTCTCTTTCATTTCAACCCTGGTGAATCTGGCGATTATGTGCCTTGAGGTTGGTCTTCTTGAGGAATATCTATGTGGTGTTCTCTGTATTACCTGGAGTTGAATATTATCCTACCTTGCTAGATTGGGAAAGTTTTCCTGAATAATGTCCTGAAGCGTATTTTCCAGCTTGGATTGATTCTCTTCGTCACATTCAGGTACACCTATCAAATGTAGATTAGGTCTTTTCACATAGTCCCATATTTCTTGGAGACTTTGCTCGTTCCTTTTTATCTTTTTTTCTCTAATCTTGTCTTTTTGTTTTATTTCATGAAGTTGGTCTTCGACCTCTGATATCTTTTCTTCTGCTTGATCAATTCGGCTGTTAAAACTTGTGCATAGTTCGCGAAGTTCTCGTGTTATATTTTTCAGCTCCATTAATTCACTTATATTCCTCTCTAAATTGTGTGTTATTGTTAACATTTCATCAAACCTTTTTTCAAAGTTCTTAGTTTCTTTGCATTGGGTTAGAACACGTTCTTTTAATTCACAGAAGTTTCTTATCATCCACCTTTTGAAGGCTGCTTCTGTTAATGGAACACAGTCTTTCTCCATCAGGCCTTGTTCCGTTGCTGATGCGGAACTGTGATCCCCTGTAGAGGGAGAGGCGTTCTGATTTTGGGTATTCTCAGCCTTTTTAGGCTGGTTTCTTCCCTTCGTTATAAATTTATCCATTTGTGGTCTTTATAATTACCGTCTTTATAGTTGGGTTTCTGAATGGACGTCCAACTTGTTGATTCCCGGCGCTAGAATCTGAGCAACCCACTGCGCCGGCCAAAACAGCGGCGTTAAGATTGATGGTGCTAGGCCGGGCACGGTGGCTCAAGCCTGTAATCCCAGCACTTTGGGAGGCCGAGGCGGGTGGATCACGAGGTCAAGAGATCGAGACCATCCCGGTCAACATGGTGAAACCCCGTCTCTACTAAAAATACAAAAATTAGCTGGGCATGGTGGCGCACGCCTGTAGTCCCAGCTACTCAGGAGGCTGAGGCAGGAGAATTGCCTGAACCCAGGAGGCGGAGGTTGCGGTGAGCCGAGATCGCGC